CTTCCTCTATCTCTGGACGTCCTTGGATTGGAAAGGGTGACTTTGAAAAAAAAAGAAGGTCATGGTTGGATAATTTTTTGTTTATTAAATTATTACTTTCACTTCCTCATTCCCACACACACATTCATCTTTTTAAGAAAAGAAAAAGAGGTCATGGAGATAAGATTTCTTGGAAAGAAGAGAGAGAGAAACAAAAAAAAACAAATAAAACGGACGTCATAGAGCCTCTATGTGTGTCTGTGTGTGTCTATATAGATATATAAAAAGACGAGAGTACTGGGCGAGATCATTTCTTTTCCATTGGGAGCCATGTCGCTATTAGACGTTTTTCCAACTCAACGGATTTCGAACGGGGAGGATTTGAAGACGCTAAAGCAAATCTCCAACTTGAAAATTTTTTTGGCGTGTCATTGTGCGACATTTATTCCGCATTTACCACCTCATCAAGCGATCGTTTCTTTCAACCAAGATGTCGAATCCTCCAACCTGCTCGTTCAGAATATATACAGAAATTTATTCGAATCGCAACAAACGAAAGAGGAATCTCCCTTCTCTTGGAATCGGATGGATCGAGCTTTGAGACGGCCCATTCAAACAGACCGGCGATATACAGGATCCGCGCACGAGTTTTCGGTGGAAGAATATTTTTCTCACGAAACGATATTTTACGTTTGGAGTGAGAACGACGGCTGAGGACGAAGTTCATATTGTTCAAACCACAGCCGCTCCTCTCGCCTATTACGAATCATCGTCCCCCAATCTGAAGGAAAGAAGTTTTAAAGTCAGCGACAGGATGAAATATAAGAAATATATTCTAAGACCTTTTCAAAACTATGTCGTTCCCCCGAAAACGCAATATCTCATCGTCACAACCCAGAAGAGTCTCTTTCTCGTCGATCGGTGCTCGTACTCGCTTTGGAAACAATTGAAAGAGGAGATTTCTTTCCAATCGCCGATGATGTTTCAAGAAAAGAAGAAAAGAAAAACCCTCCGCCACCTTTACCCATCCCTTCCTTAGATGATAAGAGGAGCTGGACCAAACCGTCGTCATGGCCCGAAACAAAATCGACCCGGCAACGGAATGAAATTGAAGTCATCACAATTGAAGATGAGGAGGAAGAAAAAAAATACCTCTTAAAAAACGGTCGACTTACCGGAACCTACCTGGCGTGCAAGATCCGCTTCAGAATCCAGAAGCTTCTTCTTCTTCTTCTTCCCCGACTTGTTCAAACAGGCAACCTCTTTCGGACTCCTCACAGACAGAACCTCTTCCAGTATCCTCTTCTTCTTCTTCTTCTCCTCCAACCTGTCCCGACATCGTAGAGGTAGAATGTCAGACGGGTCCACAAGCTTCAAAAAGTCCCGACATCGTAGAGGTAGAATGTCAGCCGGGTCCACAAGTTCCAACAGGGTCCAGAAATCATGGAGGAGGCAGAATCACAGCCGGGTTCACAAGTTCCAACGGGTCCAGAAATCATGGAGGTAGAATTTCAGCCGGGTAAACAAGTTCCAACGGGTCCAGAAATCATGGAGGTAGAATCGCAGCCGGGTCCAGACATCCTAGATCCCTCCACTCATCCCAAAGAGACTCCAAGTGTTTCAAGACAGCCTTGTGAGGATCCAGCCCTTCCCGTATGGAATGATTATATGGACTTACAAAATTTGGTGCAACAGGAAGGAGAAGAAAATAATCATACGGATGGGTGGGTCAAAGACTGTTTAGATCATTTAACCTCGAATGAAATTGAACTGTTATGGAATTGCATTTCTGAAATCACATCGGAAATGGGATAAAAAAACCAAAACAAAAAAAACAATTTTTTAATAACAAATTGGAGGAGGGTCATGATGTCAATTAAAAAAAATATTATATAGAGTCCAATCTTGGTGGTTCACTTCAGTTTTCCAGCATGAGGTGATCCACGTTTCCCGAAATATGGATCCCATTCCAAGAGAGATTGTGTAGAGCCTTCACTTCAGTTCTTTTTTTTTCCTACCAAGAGGAGAGGGTCCCCAAAGGGCTACCCATGTCCAAAGAGAGAAAGTGTAGAGCGTTCATTTCAGTTTTTTTTTCCAAGTTTAGGGGAGGGAGGTCTCAAAATGACACCCCCCCATTTTCAAAGAGAGATGGTGTAGAGCGTTCATTTCTGTTTTTTTCCAAAGTTAGGGAGTTTTCAAATGGCTACCCATTTCAGAGAAAGAGAGAGAGAGAAAGTGTAGAGCGTTCATTTCAGTTTTCCAACATTAGAAGGTCCCAAAATACCTTCTGAATTCAAAGAGAGATCGTGTAGAGCGTTCATTTCCAGTTCTCCAAGATCAGAAGAAGAGGGTCCGCTTTTCCCAAAAGGGCTTTCCGCATTCAGAGACAGCGAAATGCAGACTTCAGTTTTCTCCCTCCCCAAGAATAGAGGGTCCCAAAATGGCTTTCCCATTTCAAAGAGAGAGGGAGAGGCGTTCATTTCCATTCTCCAAGATAGGGTCGTCTGCTTTTTCCCAAAATGGCTTCCCAATTCAAAGAGAGAGAGAGAGTAAAGGGTGTGTGTAGAGCGGTCATGTTCATTCTCCAAGATAGGGTCGTCAGCTTTTTCTCAAAATGGCATCTCCCCATTCAAAAAGAGATCGTAACCAATTTTTTCCAGTTTTTTCCAAGATGGGGGGGGGAGAAGAAAAGAAAACCTAGGATGGAATAACACGACACACAGAGAGAAAGAGAAAAAAAAAACGCCATCTTGTCATTTTCTGATAGGGTACCGGTGTTCGAATACTTTTGTGACCAATGACAAAATTTTCTATGCTATTAATACTATTTCGAGCGCTTCTAAGGTCCTTTTAAAGACCGATTGAAAAAAAAGGATTTCTTATTTTAAGATCCAAGCAAAACAGATCAAAAACCTTAAAGAAAAGGAGTTAATGCACTACTTTTAATAAAGCCTTGTATATTAATGTTCATTATACATTTCTCACATTTTTACTTTCTTTTTTAAAACAGCGATGCTGTGGTTCAGTTGCTTTAGAACTATGTGAAACTAATAAAATGTGTCCTATGTTATAAAAACCTAATTATATTCAGATACACAACTTTTGAACATGTTTGAAATCTGTTATTCTAATCAGAATACTTTGTCTACAGAAAACATTGAATCAATATTAGAAATCAAAAGCTAAGTGAGATTAAAGTAGGAAGAGTCATATCGTCTAACCCATTTTAATTGAAGTAAACAGGTGCTTACTTTATCGTAAAGTGAACACCCGTTTTTCAAACAGCGAATGAAAAGAAAAAAAGAGCCCACCAGAGCTCGAGCGGTAAAATCGCTGAGCACTAATAGTTCGGTCCGGGGTTCAATTCCCGGCTAACGGCCGCACTTCCCGGCTAACGGTTCAATTCCCGGCTAACGGTTGTTATAAAAACTTAATTATATTCAGATACACAATACAATACAATACGCCCTGCACGGGCGTTTTCATTATTATTCCCGTGTGTAACTTGCATATGAGTCAGTTCCCTTTAAAAAATCCTACACGAAGGCCTCCCTCCCCGTAGGCAATAGCCTAGTGTGCTTTGCTGTAACCGAATAAACCGAAACTGGGAAAAAAAAAAGGAATTGGTGGTGGAAGGCAGCTACGGAACGTCGTTTTAGAAGAATGGGCTACATAACCAAATTTCTATCTATACTCTGGTAAACAGTACATTATTTGCTCATCAAAAGCCTAAATTTATCTAATGCTCGGCTTAGTTCTTAAATTGTAATTTTAGCCACATGCCCCAAACAAGACGATGTCTGGTATTTTATTTCATTACTTAGTTATTCATCATTAATTTAAGAATTAATTAAATTTTTATTTGTCTTTAAATTTTTTATTGAATTATAATAATAATCATTTAATATTCTAGTTGCTAATTATTTTATTATTGTAATAGTTATTTTATTTATTCATCTTTCCTGATGGCCTTCCATAGAGCTCCAGCACTTCTAATTTTAAAAATTAAGTCCTGACTACAACCAATGATTGCGAAAATAAAAGTAACTTATTTAGTGATAATTAAATAAAATAAAAGCCAAGGCTTTTATTTTCGCCTTACTTGGCTTTTATTTTATATTTATATATATGTGTGTGTACTTTACATTTAATTATAAGGACATATATATATGTACTTTACATTTAATTATAATTTATTTGATATATATATACATATTTACGTTTGGTAGTATAAACCGATTGCAATAAAAAGGGAGGTGCACATCTAGATGTTATAAACGGACCCATATACAAAATTTCAACGTTCTATAACTAACCGTTTTTGAGTTATGCAAAATGCATACCATACGTACTTACACATGACGAAAAAAATCCCTTTCAAGTATCAACTTAGAGTCATAATCATTAGTCATAAGTATCAGCTTAGAGTAAATGGGATTACATTTAACAATAAGTTTTTTTGAAAAAAAAAGAGAGAGAGAGAGAGAGAGAGTCCTTCATTGTGTTCGTACGTACAGGCGTCAGCCCAAAAAATAATTCACATGGATTCCGTAATCATCGAAAACGGATATTTCCGTTAAAATACGATACCCAAAAGTTTTCTCGATTACAATAATTACTACCATTTTATTTGATACAAGGAAGTAAAGAACCTATATTAACCTACATATTCTTATATAAACAATACCTAAGTGCAGTATATAAATATTTTAAATCAATAAAATCTGACTATTTCAGCTCAAAAGAAAAAAAAAAAAAAAAAGGAAAAAAGAAAAAAAAGATAAATCATCTAAATTTTCAAATTACAAACATAAATAGCAATAGTAAAAAGCAAATACAAAATAACGCTTCACGCTATCAAAATTGCTCATATTCTTAAATATCAACAACTAAATAGTATTTCAACTAAAACACATAATGTAAACAAGAGTTTGCCCGATGCCCAAAAAAATTCAAAATTATCTATGAAAAATATGAGCGCATTGTGACGCAACCGTATCATTCGTATTCGCATAGAAACCGCATCATTCGTACTCGAACAAACCGCATCGTACAACAGATGCGAGTAACGAAATGAATTTGTGAGTACCGAATCGGTACTTCGAGTGAACCGATGTACCCGTTACTCAGTAACGAATACATGCGGTTTGCTCCATCTCTAGTAATTATGCTCCAGTGGAAATGTGAACATATAAGCAATTTTTTTTTTTATTATTCATGGACAGTTTGGGGCGACATAAGCGTAATAAATATGGCCGGAAATTTTTGGCAGAGTTCTCATTTGTAAGTTTTATTCCCTAGGTGTGCACAGAAGCATTTAAATTACCTAAGTAATATGCATGTAGTATATTTTTTTAATTTTTACATGATTGGACTAGATGTTTTAAGTACTTTTATCCAAGCAATTCAATTTTTGTGTGAGTTAAGAAATGTATTGCTTATAATTGCTGTTAACGTTATAAGTACTGTAATTTGTTAGTAGTATTACTAAAGTAGATATTTTGAGTATATATAAGAATATTTCATGTTTAATCGAAACTGTTAAAAATATGTATTATTTTTATTGTTATGATTGGTTACTCTTTCCAACACTAATGTAAAATTTGTGTGTATTTTCACTAATTGGACCTTGGATGTACTTGATGTTGTGCATTCTTGCAAGTAGATTAGGTGAGACTTGCAAGAAATCGGTTTAAAAAAGTGTATTCTTTTTATTTTTGTTATACTTTTTTAAAAAATAAAGATAGATTTATCCAAAGCTGTAAATGAAATTGGGAGATATTGGTTAAGAGTCCCTATTGTGAATGAACATGTCTTATTTTATAAGAAAATAAACATTTAAAAAAATGTTTAATGCAAAAGATCCTATTAAATTTTACATTCATAATCTAATATATGCTTAAGATTTATTAAAACTTCCTTTATTTTGGGCATCTATTGACTAATATTTCTCAGAACTTTATCTTTATAAATCATGAATCTATAGTCAAAAAGAAAAATTGGTTAATCTTTGGATTATTGTAACTTGGCGATTTTTGGCGAAAATGTGGCGACCAACTCTGCTACAGCAACCTGCTAGTTTTGTTTCGGACGCCATTTTGTTTTCACGAAGTAAAGGCATTTTTTTTTTCCTCAACATTTTTTCCAACAATCTGCTAGCCGAATTACGCTTATGCTAGAACTTTTATGGAACAAAAGTGCTTAATCATGATGAAGATCAGATGCGAAATTGGGAGAAAGTGCAGAATCGCCCAATGCTTGCTGCGTTTTTAAGAATTGCACGTACATGGTAGCCATGTACACGTCGACCTATTGTCACTTAAAAAAACATCCCAGAATTGCACAAAAATGGCACTGCGCACATTCTTGACTTTATCCATGTACAATGCTAAAGTCCTAGTTAGTAACCTTTATCGCCTTACCAAATGTCGCCAAACTACCTGTTACCATATTCCAAAGATTAGCCGAAAAGTTTGTTATGTGGGCATTTGAATTTCAGTTGTAAAATAATTCAATAAACTCTAACATCATCATTATCAGTCACAAATGTTCTGGAGAATTTTTTTTTCCATTTTTTATTAAAATAACATTTCATCAAACTATAAAAAATCATGACGGTTCACATCATTTACTTTGAGCATATAACTGAATTACTTAATTAAGTGAATTTTATTCGAAAAAAAATATATTTGGTTGATCTTCGGATTATGGTAACTTGGCAATTTTTTGGCGACCAACCCTGCTATAGCAACCTGCTAGTTTTTTTTTTTTTGGACGCCATTTTGTTTTCACGAAGTAAAGGCATTTTTTTTTTTTTTTTACTCAACATTTTTTTCCAACAATCTGCTAGCCGAATTACGCTTATGCTAGAACTTTTATGGATTAAAAGTGCTTAATCAGGACAAAGATTAGGTGCGAAATTATGAGAAAGTGCAGAATCGCCCACTGCTTGCCGCGTTTTTAAGAATTGCACATACACGGTATCCATGTACACATTGACCTATTGTCACTTAAAAAAACATCCCAGAATTGCACAAAAATGGCATTGTGCACACTTTTGACTTTATCCATGTACACTGCTAAAGTCCCAGCTAGTAACCTTTATCACCTTACCAAAATGTCGCCAAACTACCTGTTACCATATTCCAAAGATTAGCCAAATATTTTTGTCAAATTTGCTGATTAAGATTCTGCAAAATCAACTTTGTTTTAATGTCCTTTAAAATTCATAAAGTTTTAATTAGTTTATTTTAAATTGTTTCAATTATGAATTATCATGGTTTCTAGCATTCAGTATAAGGGTTTAATCCTAGTTTCCGGTGCACAAGGGATTTGGTGACTTTATGATGAGCAGTAAACGGGACATATACGATGAGTGGTTAAACGGGTCATTTTGGTGTTGGCGATAATTTTCAAAATCGTGCCAAGGCTGCACTGTATACTAGGATTTTACCCAGTATAAGATTAAAATATTCCCCCCCCCTGTGCATGGTGTTTTGGTAAAAATTTACAATTGGGTGCTGTTTGGTTTTTTGGCGATTCATTTTAGACAGGAAGGCACAATTTTAAGATGGATGCTACACAAAACTAAAATAAGAAGTCAAAAGAATTGCACAAACTCGGTGTCCATGTAGATATTGATCTATTTTCCCCTAAAAAAAGTCAGAGAATTGCACATACATTGTGCTCTGCCTTAACTTTGTCCGTGTACATACTGATCTATTTTGACTTTAAAAAAATCAGGAAGGAGGGCGCTGTGATCACGTACAATGGAGGCAGGATCTTAGAAGAGCTCCTAAATTTTCAAAGGTGTTTTTAAGAAAATACTTATTTATTTAAGAAAAATTTCGTGAATATCCTCTACATTGTCTCGTTCTCAAAACTGAAAGTTGCTCCTGTGCCTAAAGGTCTTATCTTCCTTGCAATATTTTACAACACCAAGACGGAACATTCAGATAAGTAGAACTTTTTTCTCTAAGCTAAATCAAATATCTGTCACTAAAGTACCTTTAAATTCATTTATTTATTATGATCATTATTATTATGCTCATTTTATTATGTTCTGGCATTAAATACTTAATAATTGCTTTAAATCATGTGGTTCTTTTTTTTTTTTTTTTGTTTTTTTTGTTTTTTTGGTTACCATCTCTTAAGGATGATCCTTATCCTTATCGTAGCCCTTATGTAGTCTTAGTGTAGTCTGTTAACGCTACCCATTGGGGCCCCTTTGAGGAATTTAGGAATTTCTCGAGAGGGAAAAAACACGATCTTGGGCCTCAATGAATGTATAGATTTGTAGTTTTTGCTCCTTTAATCTATATTTCCTATCTATTTAAATTAAAAGCATATATTAATACAGTGTACCTCAAATTGATAAAATAGTACACATATAATAAATTATGACCATTAACTTAATAAATAAATAAAATGCATTATTTTTTTCAAAAAATTTAATTGATATTAAAATAAAAAAAACTCTGTAATTTATTTACTTATTTATTTTTGCTGATGTGTTCTCGCCTTGTTTTAGATTTATGATTTTATCTGATGGTGTTTTCTGAGTATATGAATATGTTGGAAACCGCAATAGATGATGTTGCTTAAGTTAATGTATAATTTTGCATGATATTATATGTATCTTGATCTTATGTGTCTTCTGTTACTGTGTCTCAAGGTAGAGGCTAACATATTGTTTCCCATGTTAAAAAATAAAAGTTTAATTAAAAAATTTTTTAAATTTTAGTTTTCCTGTTATAGCACAAGTTAGCTTCTAAACTAGACTTATACTGTTATGTGACTGGACCCCCAATATTTATATTTTATTATTAATTTCCCCCCATCTTCACATCTATTCAGCTTTACAAAACACACTCATTACACACACCTGGAAGACTATTTAATGTAAATGATAACAACTTCCTTTGACTACACTAAAGGACACAAATCGTGTTTTTTTTTTTTTTTTTAAACCTTTTTATAGACCCCTTTTTTTCAAAAAAATTATAAATATAATTTTTTTTTTCCCTCTCCATTACTTTTGGGCCATTTATTTTTTACTTTATTTTGTCCCATCTTTTCTTCCTGGCCTTTCGAACTCGTATAAAATATACGAAGTTCCTTTTCACTCTCCTCTGAAATACGAAATGGCCCCCCTTTCTATATACCTTTCCTTCACACCTATGCTTGATTTTTCGCCCATCGGTGCAGAAAGACTTAGCGGGTACAACAAAAGACATCTGTCTACTTTGTCTGTCTGTCTAAAAATCAGGACGCTAAAGCAAAGTTAAAACTATCATGGTGACTAGAAATGTGGTTTCAACGCCAAAACTGAACAAAATTTGTCGCAAATCGAAGGGGCCTCCAATTCTACACTAGAGACTGTGTTTTTTCTCACGACTTTGAAACCTGTTATCATAAATGTTGAGAAATATTATCATAAAAATGTCCATATATGTTAAGGAATATTATACAAATTTTAACGAAATATATTTCCACTTTGAAATGACTTTACACTGCAGACATATTTTTTTAAAATTTATAATGAAAACCAGAGCAACAACAGATTAAAATTCATATGTTTTTAAAGGTCTGTTTCAAATTGATGTATTTTTTCTTGGGCATCTTTTTCATTGTTAATATTCCTTATTAATTTAATTATTGTTTTCATTCTAGTCAGCAGTGGCTGTTAGACAGGCAAGATTTGCTTCGAGAACGTCATCATGATCTACAAATTTTTTCTGAGGAGGAGTATCAGAAAGTTATGATTTTTTTTGCAAACTGTAAGCATATTTTCATTCATGAATTACTGTAAATTGAATTTTTTGAAATTAAGTTTTAGTTCATAGGTATTATTAAGGATTGGGAGCTAGACTAGCTATTACCGGCATATCTCCATGAAATGGCACTTATATTGAAAAAACTGAAAGAAAAAACTGAAGAATTGAAAAAACTGAAAGGCAAGAAATTAAATTATGCCGTCTTTAAAATATTTAAAATTATGTTTATCTCTTTTTGGTTTCAGGGTCATAAATTTTTTAATGCACGCTAATAGATACGTGCCTTAAAATTAACCCTTTGCACTCGAGGCCTTTTTGGCGCAATGCACCAGCAACTCAAGATGTTTTGAAACCTTTTTGGCACATTTCTTACCAGTAATTTAAAATTATTACGCATACAAATTAAGGTATAAAATTTTTATATTTTAACATTTTGTATATCTTTACACCTTTATAAACAAAATTTCAAAAAATTTTTAAAGAAAAATTTATTTTTATTTTTTTCTTCTCTGTAATTTTTCTGTGTATGATATTTCATTTAACAATTCCCAAGACGCATGCTCGGCTTGTTGGGATAAGTATTACAATAATATGTGGTTTGTTGCCCTTTTCATGGGCTCATTTCTCTGAGAACAGACTTAATGATGGATAAGAAAAGGTAAGATTTCAGATAAGAAAACCTTATCTCCATTTAAAGGGGTATCATTTTACACTTCATAAGATTATATCGAAGAAACTAAACTTACAGTTATTGCCACACATCGAGTTTCTGTATCACACCAAGTGGTGAGTGAGAGTCACCTCTCAAGTTGCAGCATCAAATCGCATGGTGAGTGAGAGTTACCTCTCATGTGCAAAGGGCTAATAGAAAAGTATTAATTAAAAAATCTTTCTACCCAAATGAACCAAATCAAATCAAATTATGCAAATTAGACAAAACCACTATATGAGTAATTACAAAATACAAGTTTTTAATAAAATATACATATGTATACTAAAAATTATATTGTTGGTGAAATGACACAGTTAAAAAATAAATTATCAGTACATATTTATATTTATTTAGGTAAAAATATACACTGGTGTGCAAAAATTAAGGACGAGACAGTTTTTTCAATATAACTTTGTACAAAAGCTTTCCAAATCAACACATTTAATACTGTAAGATCCCCAATACGTAAGAACATGAGTAATGTAAGCAGCACTTACTAAAAGAGAAATCAGAGGGGTAAAAAGAAGCTTTATTGAAAAAGTAGCATGGAGCGCAATACGACTGAAGGTTGAAACATCCCCTGTGATGGGTGTCCAGCAAGAAACATCCGGTCTTTAATAGGGGATATGATCTCCCCTGACTGCTAGGCAGGTTTCACAGTGTCTCCCCCATGCTGAGAATGAGGGTGTCAATGAGTTGTTGAGGCATTGCTGTCCATTCGTCTTGCAGCGCCAATCGAAGCTCCGGAATCGTTACTGGTGGTAAGGTACGAGCTGCCAAGCGTCTGCCTAGAAAATCCCATACATGCTCGATGGGATTGAGATCCGGAGATCGTGCCGGCCAATCCATACGTTCAATATCCTCACTCTCTAAGAGCTGTTCGGCAGCTACTTTGCGATGACATGGTGCATTGTTGTCCATGAAAAGGAACTGCGGACCCATAGCGCCTCTAAAAAGACGCACGTATGGAAGAAGAATCTCGTTACAATAACGGGTCCCGTTGACTGAACCTGCGTTGAAGATGTGAAGGTCTGTATGACTACCAAGCATGATGCCTCCCCAAACGAGAACACCGCCACCTCCATACCTGTCCCTTTCAATGATGTTCGAGGGATGATTGCGGCTTCCCCGCTCTCTCCAGATGACTATGCGATGAGAATCGCTACTCAGACTCAATCTGCTCTCATCTGTAAAGAGTACTTGTCCCCATTCATTGTCTCTCCAATTCCAGTGTTTCTTTCTACCCAAATGAACCAAATCACCACAGAGAACGCCTTCTCCGATGGGCAGGCGTTAGAGGTACACACCATACAGGGCATCGTGCAAACAGACCACCACCGTGCAGTCTTCTGGCCACGGTAAAACGCGATATCGGTCGTCCAGTCGCCTGTGTCGTGTGTCTAGCGATTTTTCCCGCTGTCTGCCACCTGTTTCTTCTGGCCTGTAAGGCAATATACCGATCATCTGTGGGTGTGGTTCCTCGTGGATGACCACTACTAAACCCCCGGATAGCTGTTCCTGTAGTTTGAAATTGTCTCCAAAGTCGTGAAATGATGCTGTGAGCAATTCCGAACTCTGCAGCCTCACTTGTCACACTGCGGCCTTCCTCCAACTTCCCAATGATTCGACCTCGGGTAAAAGCATCCAGATGTCGTCTAACAGATTGATTATTTGCCATTTCTCGCTGAGGCAGCAACTCGGTGTGATATTAACTGCTATATGGCGTGCAATCTCTTTGCCAGAAATACTGATCTTACACCGACAACATGCTTTATACTACTCAGACACTCCCCCATTACGTCTACCTGCATATCTGCGCGTGTGCTACCGTACATCACCTTACTTAATCTCCTGATTGATCTTTCTGTCCACTCGGCCTCTTCGTTCAGCTGATATGCTAATTTTTTGACTTCCTCCTTAATTTTTGCACACCAGTGTATTTCAGGGGTGCTCCTTGATGAAAATTGGTGATTGGCCAAGGCATAATTTCAAGATGACCACTACACAAAACCAAAATAACAAGTCAAAGAATTGCACAAACTTGGTGACCATCTACACATCGATCTATTTTCACTTGAAAAAAAATCAGAGACTCACAAATCTGGCATTGCATACTCCCTTGACTTTGTCTATGTACACAATCAATCTCTTAAAAAATTTTAATCTTAATTAGATCTTAATTTTAATTAATTAGAGTGCACCTTGTTGCCAATTTTGAAAAATCGAGCCTAGAAGTGGGTGACTCTTCACTTTCCCCAAATATTTATAACTACACTAACAGTATTTTCAGATGATTATTAGAGCTGTACCTTCCTCGTTTTCATTGATGTAAATTTATCAAAGAGTAAAAATTAATTCTTTCAGTTCCTTGTGTTTCAACACTCAGTAGATTAGGATTGCACAATTGATCTTTAACTCTGGAGGCTCACAAGTAATTCAAGATTAATTTCAGTTTGCTGAAAGATCTCTCATAGTTGGCACTGAAAATTGCAATAGTCAGTTTCATTTGGGTTACAATACAAAGATTAGGAAAGACGCTATGATCTCCAAACTGCACAATAAAAGGAAGAATTTGTTCTGGTCTTGATATTTTAGTTAGTCCATCTTCTAAGTAACATTCTGAAATTTAAAAATTTCTTTATATAGTGGATCACCATCAACATCGCAGGTCTAAAAATTGCTGAAATTGGGGCATTTTGTTTCTAGAACGTCACTATCAACACTGTAGCACAGTATTTCAGCATCAAGTAAAAAGCCAATCTTTTCATCAGTGTCATGAAAATGCATTAACCTTTCATCCATTTCCATGTAAAGACTATCGGTTTTCCCCTTCATTACTCTTTTAATTTCCTGTTTAATTGTTAATCCGATATCTGTTGACATTTCACCTTCACCGGCAGTTTTTTTTTTTTTTTTTTTTTTTTTGTATTCACGTATTAATGTAACTAACTACCTTGACGAATTTTATGAAAGACAAAAGACCAATTACTTTAATTGAAAAATTATATATTACATACATAGTCTACAATTCAACTATATATTTATTCCAAAACACAGTCAGTAAATCTAGTTGCAATTGGGTGTTTTTTTAATGGTGGAAATTTTGTGGTGATCACTTTAAGAAAGAATTCGAAATTCTATTCCTGTAATGATTTTGCAGCAAAATAATGTATTTCTGCTGAAATTTCACCTTTTCTTCTGTGATAGAAAAATCCTATAAGCACAAATTTTAAAATCGAATTTAAGCAAAAAATAATTTTAATTTTTTCTGTAAAAGTCATTGGAACTTGGAATTCAATGAAAAGAATGCAATCAAAAATGGCAACTAGGTGGTTGCGATTATAGGTAACTATCCTTTTTTTTGGGGGGGGGGGTCTTGGTTGCTTTTCATTTTCAACCTCTCATTCTTGCTGAAGTCAGACTTCTTGATATTCAGTTACTAAAGCTGCTGTTTCATTGTTAAAATGCTTTCTGAGAGCTTTCAGATCTAAAGCAGTATTGTGGAAATTCATACTTGGATCCTGCAGTCTCTTTTGAACCAGATCAATAGAATTAAGTACTATATTCCAAAATCTTAGTAAAATCAGAACATAATAACATATGTATATCACAACATATGATTATACAGTTGCCCGTTATCTCTTGTATTACTTGTATGGCTCAAAAGAATATAACACTGATAAAATTATCAAAACAAGAGTTTCCTATTATGTGTATAAACCCGCGAGCATGCTCGCCGGGTATCTCATACTCGAGGGGGCATATTCTTTGTCCCTTATCTCAAAATCCCTTTCCTGGACAGAACCTTTTATAGCTGAACTCAAGGTCACATTCATGAAGCTGGGAAATCCGTGGAATGATTCTTCGAATACTTTTTTAGGCATTGTACCATTTGGGTATGTGACACTCGCGCCCTTTTTCGCATCTCTCAGATTTTCACCCTCACTTTCTTAGTTAGTCAGCATGGCGGGGCACCTGAGTTATGATAAAGAAATGGAAAAGGTTGAGAAATATGCTAGAAACCATTTCAACAGATGATGAAACGTTTAGAGAAGAGGAGGAAGAAATAATAGATGAAGAACACAACAGCAATTATAATTCATCAACAGACACTGAATTAGATAGTGAATTAGAAAATCAGTGAAATGATGAAAATTATGTTGGTAAAAGTGGCTTGGTATGGAAGAGAAAGAAATTCCAAAAGAATGTTAGGTCTAGTTCTAAAAGTATTATCTTTAAAATTCTAGGAAATACTGGTTATTCGAAAGTGGAAAATTGCTCAAATCAATGG